GGTCACCCCAACAAAAAATAAAAAGAAATATCTGAAATAATATCAGAGATCAAATGAACTTAACAGATCTCTGCAGAACACTCTATATAAACACTATAGGATACACATTCTTCTTAGCCCAAGTGACTTTCTCTAAAATACTTATTTAAAGATACAAGGCCAGTCAGTAGATAGAGAAATTATTAGTGCAGAAATTGGTGAAATAGAAATAAAATATACAAAGAATCAATGAAACTGAGAGGTTTTTTTTTTTAAAGATAAGAATGACAGACCCTTAACTGAACTACTTAGAATAACCAAGTTAATAAAATTGGAGATGAAAAGGGTCCCTTACAACAGACAACAATGAAATCCAAGCCATCATCAGCTCTTGTTTTGAAAATATTCCACTAAATTGAAAAGTATAAAAGAAATGAATAAATTTCTAGATGTATATGACCTATCAAAATAAGCCAAGAGGAAATATAAACAGATCAATAACAAGCAGTAAGATTAACAGTAATTTAAAAATCTCCCAACTAAAAATTTTCCAGGCAGGCCTAGATGGAGACAGTATTGAGTTTCACCAGACCCTCAAAGATGAACCCTCAAAGAAGACCCTCTCTTCAGCATGGTTGGAGAACCCTGAGGCTTCAATATTCTCCTGTCCTCAGTGTGACTGGAGAATCTTGAAATGCCAATGTCTTCTTATCTTCAGTGTGACTGGAGAATGAATGCCTGATACTGACTACTGAAGACCCTGCTCCTATCTTTTATACCCCTCTAGTGCTGGGATTAAAGGCGTATGATCCCAGGTGCTGAGGTCATCTTTGTGTGAGCTGTTTTTCTTTAGGACTAGATCAATCTTGTGTAGATCTCGGTGGCCTTGGACTCACAGAGATCCATCTATCTCTTAATCCTGAGTCCTAGGATTAAAGGTGTGTATCACCATCTCCTAGTTTCTGGCTGCTTGAATTAAAGGCCTGGCTTCAATGGCTTGTGGCTGACTTTACTTTCTGAATCCTCAGGCAAGCTTTAATAAATCATAACTATTACCATACTCCAGTTCATGGCAAACAGAGGCAGAAGTATCTCTACGAATTTGAGGCCACAGGCCAGCTAGGACTACATATTTAAGATCTTTAATGAATTATCAAAGTAAAGGATATGAAAGTAGGAGGGATTTAGTTTATCAGTTCACACAGACAGAAAGTAGACTATGAGGAGATCAGGGAAGAAAGAAAGGAATGAATGTGGTTTAACGAATCTACAACACTCGTTTTGGAAGATCAAAAGGTCTTGCTGGGTGGGGCTGGATATACCTTTAATCCCAACAGTCAAGAGACAGAGGCAGGCAGATTGTTGTGAGTTTGAGGCCACCCTGGTGTACATAAAGTGTATAAAGAGTCCTTGGTCAATGGGGGATGGCTGGGTGTGGTACTATTGTTTATGATCTAACAAATGAAACTTCCCTGAAAATCAGAGTGCAAAGCTAGCCACACTAGTTAGCCATAAAGGCCAGGCAGTGATGACACACACATTTAATCCCAGCAGCCACACTAGTTAGCCAGAGAGTCTGGATGGTGGTGATGCACGCACGCTCTTAATACCAGCACTTGGGAGGCAGAGGCAAACAGATCTCTCTGTGAGTTCAAAGCCACCCTGGGCTACATGAAATTGATCCATCCAGTCTAAAAGACAAACAGAACTCACACCTTTGATCCCAGCACTTAGGATCACATGCATTAGGGAGGTGGAGACAGGAGCTCATTGTAGTCAGTCTGGCCATCAGTCCGAGGCAAGAGTAAGAGCAGTATCCAGTCTGGGGATGCAGTTTGAGGATGCAGTTTGGGGATGCAGGTTAGGAATGCAGTCTGAGGACAAGATCACCCTTTTGGTGGGCTTTGGTAGAGGTGAGAACTCTCTAGTGGCTCACTGCTTTGCTTCTCTGATTTTTCAGTCCCCCCCCCCAATATCTGACTCTGGGGTTTTTATTATTAAGATCTATTAGAATTTGTGCTATTGGTGCAGGATGGGAGGGGTGACATAGTGAGACCCTGTCTCAAAAAGAAGAGTTCTCTAGAACATCTGCACAAAGTAAAATGTACTAATTACCACCAAAATGGTTACGATGGTAAATACTATAAATATGTAGTTTTCCCCAAAAAGTTAAAAACCCATTTTCTAAATTACTAACAACTTCAAGATTTCTCAGTAAGTCATCATCTCTAAACTTGATCTTTATTATTATATGAAGTTTTTTCCCTGAAGTAATGTTTTTATTACTGTGGAAACCTATGTAGGTCTTTCGACATTGCCGTGACTTATTTTCTATTGAAAAATAAGCACCGGAGCTAAGAAGTGACTGGACAGTTAAGGACTTTTGCTTTTGCAGAGGACCTTAGTTCAGTTCCCTGCCTCCACATGGTGGTTTGATTTATAACTCTGCATAACCCTAGCAACAGGGCATCTAGTGTCCTCTGTACCAAAGCATGAGTTTAGTATACATACATACATACATTCATACATACATACATACATACATACATTAAAGATAATGCTCATATACATGAGATAAAATTTTAAAATCTAAAAACAATTAAAACAGCTGTAGCAGAGTCACTTTTAACAGTGTCCATGATAGCACACACGACAGTCTTTAGATTGTTGCTTGGCACACAGTGAGCTCTCAGTAACGTTATTCATCATTATCAGTACTCAGCAGTGACACAGTGTCCTTACGTTTTAGGACATTGCATGGCTGGCCAACCTTAATGTTTAGAATTGTGGTCATCACAAAACCCAAGTTTTTTCCCTGAGTGAATACAAACCTAAAGTTGTCTAGACAGATTAGAGGACAAACCTCCACTGTGTCTGCCCTGCTTTTTTGCCTTTAATCAGAACTCTGTGACTAAGGCACAGCAAACTGGGACGTGGTACAGGAGGCTGTCGTGCCATCTCAACAGGAACATCCGGAAGATCCAGACTTGAACAGGAGGCAACAACTTGGGATGGCTCAAGTACGGAGGAGGGGATGAACTTCCTCTGGATATAGAATGAGCTTCCTCTGGTCATAGAAGTGGCAATGACTCCTTGTCATTCCCCACCCACCCAGCCACGGCAGCACTGTACACGGGGAGACATTTAGAGGCAGAGCATTGGAGGATGCCGGGGGTTAAAAAGCATTTTTCACTTTTTTTCTTTCAGTTGTACTTAAAGACACTCAAAAAGGCCTGCCAGTGAAAGCAGACACATCGTCCTAGTGTGCTTGTGCTCTCTGTTGCTGTGATAAACACCATGACCAGAAGCAACTAGGAAAGGAAAGGGTTTATTTCAGCTTACACTTTCCAGTCCATCATGAAAGGAAGGATGGACAGGAGCACAAGGCAGGAATCATGTGGGATGTCTTTCTGTATGCTGTGAATATATGTTGTTATCATTGGTTAATAATAAAAGCTGTTTGACCAATAGCCAGGCAAGGTAGAATTAGGTGGAAAAATCAAACTAAGTACTCGGATGAGGAGGGGGAGAAAGATGCCAGCAGCCGCCCAAGGAGCAACATGGTGGGGCACCACTGGCAAGTCACTGGCCACATGGCGATACACAGATTAATAGAAATGGGTTAATTTAAATGCAAGACCTAGCTAGTAATAAGCCTGAGCCATTGGTCAAATGTTTGTAATTACTATTAAGCCTCAGAATGGTTATTTGGTGACTGGTGAGCAGGAGAGAAATGTGTAGTTATACAGGAACCTGGAGGCAGGACTGAAGCAGAGGCCACAGAGGATGCTGCTTTCTGGTTTCGTCCTCATGGCTTGCTAGTTTTTTTTTTTTTTTTTTGTTTTGTTTTTTTTTTTTTTTTTTATGCCACCCAAGACCATCTGCCCAAGGTTGGCACCACCCACTTTGGGCTAGGTCCTCCCACAACTCTGAATCAAGAAAATGCTCCACAGACTTGCCTACAGGCCAATCTGATGGAGACATTTTCCCAGCTGAGGTCACTTTCCTCTTTACAGAAGACTCCTCCTGTCAAGTTGACAAACAAAAGCTACCCCCTCCAAAAATAAACATGTAGTGGGAGCTGGAAAGATGGCTGCTCTTCCAGAGGTCCTGAGTTCAATTCCCAGCAACCACATGGCAGATCATAACTGTCTGTAATGAAATCTGATGCCTTCTCCTGGCCTGCAGAAATACACTGTATACATAAAAAGTAAATAAATCTTTTAAAAATGCAGCAAACATTAGATTTTGTTAATAGCCATGCTCCCGGCACTGCTAAGAGCTGTTATCTTCTATAGGCTGTATGGAATGCAAGTGTCATTACAGCCAGAATAGTGGACCCATTGGAGGTCACTTCAAACACAAAGTCAGAAACCACACAGCAATAGACAGAGCTATATGCACCAGAAGAGACATGACAGAAAATCTCACTGAAGGGATTAACCCTTGTACCATGTATTTTTCATTTATATAATGTGCTATCACCAAGCATCATGCAGCAGGTGCACAAGTGCATGCAGCAGGTGCTCAGGTGCATGCAGCAGGTAAACAGGTGCATGCAGCAGGTGCTCAGGTGCAAGCATCAGGTAAACAGGTGCATGCAGCAGGTGCTCAGGCACATGCAGCAGGTGTATGCACAGGTGCATGCAGAAGGTTCATGTGCACAGGTACAGCACAGAAGAAGCTGAAAGACACACAGGAGAGAGATAAACTTACTTAACCAGGGTGTTAAGACAGGACTATTCTCTGAACACTAGTCATCCCCTGACACGGACTGCATTCAGATAGGCCATTAGCAAGCAGTCTTTTCAGGTAACCCAGAGCTTGATCCCAACCTGAAAAGAAAATGAATCCCTAGGGGGAAAAATGCACTGATTTGCTTCCAAACAGGAATAGCATTTATTTTTTGCTGATTTTAAATGTCTGGGAAATTTGTGTGAAATCATTCTGGAAAAGCAATGAAGAGTCGTGTGATAAGCTTGTTAACTAGGCAAATGTATTAGATGGCAGGATTGCCTTAGTTACATTTGTGACTTGACATCGTCTGTTTCAGGTTGCGACTTGACTGATTGTTTTTGCCAGCGTTTATGATACCAGTTTTTAATCAGCTGCCTAAAAAACACAATGATCACTGAGGCAATGAATAAAATAATACGCATCACCATAATATATAAAACTGGAAATGATGAGCGCACTTCCTCTGCCCTAGGTCCAGGGGGTCCACTGTCAATGCTCCCACCAAATCCTACCTCTTCACAGAATGGGGGTTCCCAGCCATACACACAGTGGCAGTTCTTTTTATCATTGCAAACACCTCGGCCTTTGCACTTGGCAGGCAAACAGTCAAACTTCAGGATGTCAGAGTCAACACAAGTTGTGTTAATACATACCTTGTTAGGATTACAGAAGGTACCATCATTAATCCTACCCATGTCAGCTACCTCAGTGGCTATCATGGATTCATGATAGCCTGTGCCCCAGCATATAAGATTATCTGTCTTCAGATAGGTGGCTATTATAATAGTGTGATCTGGCAATTTGGGGATGTCTTTAACATTTATACACTGTAGCCTGCCACAGATTGCATTGTCCCTATCACACTTCAAATATCGAGAACGACTAATGCCACAGTTACCATACTGATCACCTATCTTATTAACTGCATCATAACATTGAGGAGGAGCCTCCTTGGCAGTAGGTCCAAAAATGCGCTGGCACTGTGTGTTCTTGGATCTGCATCCCTTACTGAAACAAAGTCCTCTGGATCTGCAGGGAGTTCCATCCTGCTTGTAAGAATCCTTTGGACAGAAACCCGAGAGGCCATCACAGTACTCGGCAAGGTCACATTCATTTTCTTCCTGCCTACACACATATCCTGATGGAAGGAAGTTACATTTATGACAACAAAGCCCAGTGGAACAGTTGACACCTTCTTTCCATTTGCAGTCTGGCTCACAGCAGGGGTCTTTTTGGCATTCCTCTTTGGAACCACAGTCACATTCCTCTTTGTCTTCAACAATTTTGTTCCCACATCTCGGAATCATAAAAATATTTTCTGGGATTTTAGCTAGACAATATGATATTTTATAAGATATATGTAAGACATATTGATCATAACTACAATTGCTAAACCCTGTACGTCCTGTACCCATGACACAGCTCTTCCTACCTCGGCATTGACAGTACTCTTCATCGTGTTTCATCCCCACACTATGGCCCAGTTCATGAGCGGTCCAAGTGGCAGGTCCAAGCATATTCACATATTGTATGGTGCAGGTTGAGCCAGCATGGTATTCTTCACAAACTCTTCCCCATGACCATGCCATAGCATCTTTAAACCTTCTTCCTATATATAAATGTGCCCAGTCTGAGGGAAGCCGAAAATGCAGTGATCTTCTTTTGTACAGTACAAATTGACCTAACACTTCAGATAAAGTAGGATAGAGAGTATATATTTGGTCACCCATTGTCCAAATTTCAATTGCTTTTAAAACGACCTTCAGCCTGACCTCGTGAAAGTAGGTGTCTATGATTGAAGTTAGAAGAATAGCCTCACCAACGGTTCTAGAATAATTGCGACGTAAATACAAAAATCTGGTTACATCAAAGACCATAAGCAATTCCAAGTACTTTTGGTGCTTGTAGGATTTGTGGAAGCTACCTCTCCTAGCCGTTTCCTCCTGCTGGATGGTTTGCCCATCTGTTTCTTCATCAACCACACCACAGGTCTGATTGCTAAATTCGTCCTTACTTAGGAGATACACGATGTGTTCAAAACTAGAAGAGGACCTGAGGGGCTCGATTTGGTAATAACTGGAGTCTATGTTCAAGACGCCACGCAGACCCCCCATGCATGTACTCAGGGTAACTTCAGATTCCTGAGCGCCTTCCACAGAGCCCATGTAATTGCACTTGTTTGGTATGTATGGGAAATCCTCTATCAGACTGCCCTCTTGAGTGAAGGAGAAAACAGGCAGATGTCTTGGCAACAGAAACTTCTTGGGCCACAGATGAATGACACGCTTCTTGCCCTGTATCTCTAAGAGGTATGTCAAAGAACTGTCCCCATCCCGCTCCTCTTTCCTAAAGTTCAGTATTTTGGGAACGGTGATTTCATAAGAGTCAAACCCCCAGTTGGGGTCAAACAGTAGGTCATCGCCCACAGCCTCAAGCAAGAGCATAGCCAGAAGTAACCAGCGGTGTTGGGGGAGGGAGGCCCACACTGACCTCATAATGTGTTCTGTTTCCCTGCTTGGTTTTCCTGGACCAGGAGACACCACGCCAGCCTTGGCATGCGCCAAGCCCTTAGCTCCGCTGGCAAGCTTGCCTGGGAAGCCAGGGCTGTTGGGCCTAGTTGGTTTTCCCCAGGCGCATCCCTGTCCTAACGCTCCAGTTCCGTTTTTTTTCCCCCTCCGCCTGAGGTGGGTGAATTCAGCTCGAGCTTAAGAATGCAGGGAAAAGTGCACGTGAACAATAGAGAAGAGTATGTCCCAAACGTGTCCTGAACTCGCGGGATGGAGAGGGGGTGGATTTAGAGTCAGAAAAGGAGAAGGAATAAGAAATAGAAGTAGAAGACAACTTACTGTGTAGTTTGTCTACAGGAGACCGGAAGAGATGGGATGTTTTGTAGCAACCCCCCACTCCCACCCCAACCCCGCCTCACTGGTGAGTGCCCCCAGTTTCTGCTGGGTCTCTCCAAGGAGCTGGAGGCCCGCCACAGTACCAGAATAGCGGCCCAGACTCTTCATCCGCACCCTTCTTCTCGCCCCAGCTGCTGCCTTGTCAGAGAAGCTCTGACCCAACCCAGAAAGTCTCTGAGTTCATTTCGCCGCTTTTGCTGCATGTCAGGAATTCACATGATGGTGTTGCCATGCACAGCGAGCACTTGCTCAGGTGGCGGGAAGTCCAGGACTCTTCTGAGAAAGGTAAATGATGGGTAACGACTGCCGCATGAATTACAGATGAGAGGCGGTAAACGACAGTTAGGAAAAATGTCCCCAGCTCAGAGGACAGAGGGTCTTCACATCCACAGACAATCCCAGAGTGAGGACTGGCGCATTTTCAGAGGACCCACTGTGAGGTGGGAAGTGCAGTTAGGCGGCCCTTTGACAGTCCAGATGTGTTGTCTGTGGCCAGAAGTCATGGCTCTGGGCTGAGCGAGCATGAGGGCTCCCTCCTCCTCCACGCTGGAATAGTAACTGGCTTGGTTTTGGGTGGGCAACCACAGCTTTTGTGAACTCTTAAGTTCAGTAGCCTGGTCATGACTAGAGAATGCTGTTTCCCTTTGCTCCTCCTCCACCTCTGGTTTTTGCTTGTGTTTCATTTTTGGTTTTGAGGCAGGGTTTCTCTGTAGCTGGAACTTGCTCTATAGATCAGGCTGGTCTCGAACTCACAGAACTGCCTGTCTCTATTTTCCCAGTGCTGGGATTAAAGGTATGTGCTCTGCTCTATCTCTGGCTCTTACAGTCTCTCTTCTTGGATGGCCTCAGAGCCTTGTGGGGGGTGGCAGTGTAAGAGACATGCCAGATGTGAACACTCCAGATAATTTGTAGCCTCTGCATCAACAGTGAGGGTTTTTTTTTTTTTTTTTTTTTTTTTTAATACTAGTAATTTCTAAATGCAGTCAGGTACATGGGCATCCTTGGATAACATAACTTGAGCTAGGCCTGAGGCCAAGTTATCAGCATAGTGCTCTGTGGAACTGTGTGGGAAAAGCAGATAGAGACCAGTTCAGAGACTCCAGGAAACCTAGGATGTGTGATCAGGCTAACAGAAGAGGTTTGTGGTAGTCAGAGGAGTAGGTTTGGATTTGAGGAAGAGCAGGCTAAAGTGGAGCTGAGCAGAGTTTCACAAGCACTGGAATTAGCCCAGAAAAGTCATGGTAACAGTGCAAACTGGTTCAGGAAACCAGATACCAGGATGTAGACATACAAACTGGAGATTAGGTAGGCAAGCTGATATGACTAGCCCACATCTTCAAGAAGCTGGACATGGCAGAGGAGAAATGGAAAGGAAGCTGGTAGGGGCTTCATGGTAGAAAGGGGAGTTGATAGAGGAGAGGTTCCTGACCATTTCCAGATGCTGTGGGAAGCCGTGCAGAGCACCAGTCAGCCTTTAAAGGGGTGCCCCAGCAGCTCCCCCTCAGGACCACCCAACAGGAAGCTGGGGACTGCTGAGGGAGGTTGAGAAGTGAGAGAGCCAGGCCAGGGCTTCAGCATGCTCTACAAGCTCAGCCACTGAGAGTGAGGAGGTGGCAGAGGGAACCCCAGAAATAGGAAGGCTGTGAAAGTCCTGCTGAATACCCCAATGGATATGGAGCAGCTAACAAACACCTACATTATCTCCCAGCCACTGGTCCTCACACTCTCTCCCCACACAGGGCTGTTAGGTGTCAGCTGTCTCGGTCTTGAATAATAAATTATGCATTTTAAGACACTATGTCTGCTTTCTCTTTTAGTGACAGGGTCTTGCTATTAACTATGCTCAAATTGCAGTGAGGCCTCAGATCTGTGAGCCCTCCGGGGATTACAAACATATGCTGTCATATCTGACAAAATATTGGAACTTTGAGAAATGGGGCCTAATTGGAGGAAGTTGTGCCACCAAGGGTGTGCCCTTCAAGGGGACACTGGGACACTGGCCTCTTCCTCTTTTTGCTTCCTGGCCATGAGGTAACAAGTTTCCTCTGTCTGTGATGTTCTATCTTAGCTTTGGCCTCAACAGTAAGGGGCCAAAAGACCAGGACCCAAAACTCCCAAAGCCATAAGTCACAATAAACCCTTTCCTTTATGAGTTGATAATCTCAGGCATTTCCCCACAACATAAAGGGGGCAGAAAGAAGTTTGGAGAGACAATGCTATGCTCATGGTCTCAATGGTATAACAGCTTTACAGATACACCCATATCTCAAACAAATGAATGCACATATATTACAGACATGGGTCTGTAAGGAGTAAGGTTTTTCTGCCCGCCGCTGGTCTGGTCCCGCTGCCACACCTGCCCCAAAAGAGGAAGTAGGAAGGAGGAGTCAACATGGAGAGACTGGGGAGACCAGACGCCTGCCCACTCCCTGGTAAGGTGAAACCATGTGGAAATACATAGATTAACACAAATGGGTTAATACTTAACACAGAGCTAGCAGAAGGAACAACAGAATTATATCTAATACAGAGTCTCTGTGTGTTATTTGGGGCTGGTGCGGTGGCGCTACAAGACCAGCAGTGGGTGGAAAAACATACTCCTTATATATGGCGCCCATGTGGCTAATAAGAACTTCCACTTAAAATTTAACAAAAGCTTAAGAAAGGGTTTTACACACAAAAGAACAGAGACATGCAAGGTTTCTTGGTGGCAGCATTTTTCTCAGTTGGACTCTGCTTTGCAAGAGACAAGCAGATATTTGCGTGGCCCTTTTAAGAAGTTTCCTGACTCAGCATAAGCAAAAACCACATGGCTTTTAAGAAACTCTGCTAACAATTCATTGGTGTGTATCAGAGCTGGCAATGGCAGTGACCACGTCTCCAAGCTGGCAACATGCTGCTTGCTGCCACATAGACCAAGGTGGTGACCACAGCTCTCACTGGAGGTAAAATAGCCGCCGGTGGCGGCCAGAAACAACAATGACTTTCATTTTAGCAATGTTGTTGTTTACCAGATAAGAGACTTGTGGCTACAAGAAGATAAAGATTTACAGTAAAGACAGATTCACATTAAGAAAACCTCTAAAGGTTTACAGTGTGTTCCAAAATATATGTAGGCTTGGGAGAGAAAAAGATAAAATGGTTTAAAAAATAATAAAAAGGCAGAGAACAGCTGGGTGTGGTGGCACACGACTTTAATTCCAGCACCTGAGAGACAAAAACAAGCAGATCCTGTGATTTCAAAGTAAACCTGGTATGCAGAGTGAATTCCAGGACAGATAAAAGTTACACAGAGAAACCCTGTCTCAAAAAAAAAAAAAAAAAAAAAAAATAGAAGTAAAAGAAACAGAGTAATAAAAAAAGCCACGTAAAGATGAAAAGCACAGAAAAATTATGGATGCTATATAATATTCTGTTGTCTTTAAATTGTTTGACTGCTGAGGAAATAACAACCGTTAAAACAAATGCTGCTGGATCGATCCAATTTATATATTTTAGAAATGTTTTGACTCCAAAATTTAAGTTCAAGGACAAGTTACTGAGGAAAAGGATTTCTATTTTTGATTCCACAGAAAATGAAAAGCTGTGGATTCCTTCCAGACTAATGTGGTTTGATCTAGCCAGACCCCCTGAAACAGAGTTCCTGGTGATCCAACATTCAAAACAGATGAACAAGGCAGCTTTGCAGACTACAGCCAGGATTTCTTCATTTTCTTAGGATCCCCATGACAGTGCCCCCTATCAGCAGGAAGCAGTTTGGAAAGAATGACGCCCAAATTCCCAAATATTATTTATAAATGTTTGCTTTCATTTAAATGGGGTGGGTTATAAACTGTTAATGACCACAACCAATCTCTTTTTAAAGGTAAAAAGAGGATTATGGTATAGATATCAATACTTTATTTTGGAATGGATTTTCATTTATTGATAGAAATTTAAAGTCAATTTTGTGATATGCAGATTTCTTCTCTTGGGTATTGTGTAGAAATGTATAATTCAGTACATATTATAATATTTGGAGGTAAATAGGCATTCTTCAAACCTTTCAAAGACCTACAGAATATGGCATTTAAAATGGTTTAGGGTTTTTCTTGACAGTGAGATATGCATGCTCCTGGCAACACCACCTGCATCAGAAAGGAAGATGGACATTGAAAAAACGAGTTATGAAGTTTACTTCCAATATGACAAGACTAGCCATTTGGACAAGATATTGCTCTTGTCTGGACTGTTTGACTTTATGCTGTATAAACTGGACATGCAGGATCCACAGAAAAGTGACTGCTGATTTAAAATGGACATTGCTACAGAATTCCTGCTTCATGGAAGAGTCTGCCAGACAGTCTGCAGGACACAGAGAAAAATGACTGACAAACTGCCAATATAAGAAGACAGTTTAAAGTTTCCTACATTGCTGAAGAGTTTGCTAGACACACTATGGCCTATGGGCTGAAGATGAAAGATTACAGAAGAACTTCAGGTGACTGACAAGGCGAGATGTCTCTGTCATTTCTAGAGTTTATATACTATCCTTCTGTGGTCTTTGAAGGAGTTGAAGACAGATAGTTATGGTTTTAGTTTTCCTTAGTTAAGCTTAAAGACAAGTTACATATAGGACTTTAGACTCACAAATATAGGCTAGATGATAGAAT